TGTTCTTAGGTAATTGGAGAGGGAACACATGGGACATTTTTCATTTTAATTATAATATAGATCTTTAAAATAATAATAGTAACAATAATGATAGTGATAAAGCTAGGAAAGAGAAAGCCAGTGTTTATTAAAATACTTTAAGATTGGGGACTTTTTTTCTTCTAAGTAACTCCCTATTTATTTTTAAAAAAATAAAATTTTAGCTACAAAAGACAGTATGACTTTGTCTTTTTCAGATTAACAGTTTAGTTTAAACTAACAGTTGGAAGACCCTGAAAGAATGTGCCATAGAGATATTTATAATTTTGCTGAGGCTTCTGTTTGAATTAATAACCCCCTCAAGGGTAGTTTGTTGGAGCATTTTATTTGGAGAGCAAGCCTAGGAGATCCTTCTATCATCTGCTTCAGTGTAGCTTTGATAATTTCTACACATATATAATATCAGTCATGAAATTGTAGCAAATGTTTATCTTTGTGAAAAATGGCCATTAGATAAACATAAAAATTCAGTAAAAGTTGAAAATGCAAATAGCTCATGGTGTGAGACCATGCAAAGAAAGAAATAGCTCTGGACTGAATTGTGACTAAGGGCTTATTCAAAGAATCCTATCTTAATAAATTGGGAGTTTGAGCTGGGTTTAACAATATTAAGATTAGGCTCTCTTCCCCGATGAAATGTAACTAGATACATAGAAGAAAATAATGAAAATTCATAATGTTAAAGACCAATTTCTTTGGGCATGTTTATCCAATTTTTTTTCATTTTGTTTCTTTTATTTATATCACACCTGCCTCCTTCTTATGAGCCCACATACTAACAAATTGCTTTTATTTTGAGAGTGGAAGTAGATACCTGATAGAACTTATTGTGCATTAGTGCAATAAAGAATATGCACAGAAAAAGATCAGATTTGGCAATGGGGTAGTCTTTAAAGGAGCTGCTTCTTACAAAGATTGCTTATTTAAAGCATGAGTATCTTAACTATAATTGTCATTTGGGTATCTGTATTCCAGACACCTAGTGTGGGTGTGTGTGCACTGATAAAATTTTAAAATTTTAACTCAGAATTTAGATTTTTAGAAAAGTTTTCTTTGGGGATCTTTAGGGCCAGTGTTATCTATTTCATGCCTATACCCCAGTTTCTTCCCTCGGAACTTCCCACCGTCTGTCATCATTTTCAAAGGTTCGGTGGTCTCAGTAAAGGCAGCTCTACTTTTACTTAGGCCTCTGTTCTGCACAGATGATGATAGGAAGCTACCCTTCTTATCAGAGAAATTTCTTGCCCTTTGCATTTTATTCTAGGTTTAGAAAGCCATTGCCAGAAGTGATTCATTGGTTTTCTGAAATGATTTTGCAAAGGAGGCTGTACCTTCCGTGACAAGATTGGGAAAGATTTGCTCCCAAGTATCTCCTCTAATGTCTTGGCTTGAGCAGGGTGATTTTTCCTCCTGAGTTGGGAGAATTCTCTTCCTGGCACTTTCATAAAGACATGCTTAGGGACACAGGGGTCCTGCCACTGCTCCATGCCGATCTCTCTGTCCTCCAAGTGGACATACAGCTGTCAGGTTTCTAATGAAGATGCCTTGGGCATGAGTCAGTAAGGCCTTGGAAGTCAAGTTATCTGGGGCACGGGCCATGTCAGTGGGATGGCTTTGAGCTTGGCTGTGCTCACTGTTCTCCAATTTAAACTTTAATTCACCCAACATCTGATTTTGAAGGTCTGATGATTTAGGATATTGGGGAACTGATAATGTTGGTGGGAACTTTCAGTGGTCAGGGTAGTTTCTGCTTTACTCATATTCATACTTATTACTGCTGAGCTTTCCAACTTGCTGGCTTGTGATTGTTGCCAGGCTGTGATTGAAAAGCATAGAGCTCCTCTGCCTTGAATATCTCTATGGATATGTTGGGAGTGGAAAGATACACTGAATTCTTCATCCTTTTGCCCTGAAGCATTTGTAATCCATTGCTGTAACTCACTGTCTCATCCATTGGCTTGTGTCCACCCCCAGCTTGCCAAGACAGCATTGGGCTGCATCTATTGGCTAGTAAAGTGGGTTACTGACTGAATTTGTCTATGAGTCTATGAAGAGGGGACAAAAAGTCTGCCTGCCATCTTCAGTTGTCTGAGCATTCTCTGTAAGCTCATGGTTATTATCACAGAGTTATTTTCTTAGGGCTCCGTCATCTTTTGCTCATAAGTGAGGAGGCAGGGAGGGGATAAACCAGGCTGGGAACTGATTTTGTTGTTCCCACATTTTCTCCATTAAAAGCTTTAGACCTTCTTCTAAGGGGATTGGAGAGCCCATCTTTGTAATTTTTTGTTTCCACTTTTTCTTTCAGGCTTATGTTCCTGATCCTGCCTGGCATCCTTCTTAACTGGAAGCATTTAGGAGCATCTCTCTTGGAAGCTTCCAGATTGGTTCAATCCAAAATTCTTTGCTGCACTGGCCTTTAAACAAAGGATTTCATGAGAGTCTGTGATGGCACTTGGATTCAGATGTCTCAGGAATTTCTGAGGATTTAGCAGTAAAAGGGACCCATGGATACAGCCAGGCAGGCCCCACCAGTGTTGGATGAGTCTCTTTCAAAAGTGGTGCTTTATTGTCTTCTAAAGCTCACTGCTGAGAGAAAAATTTCCAGGAAGAATAAAGATTGGAACACAGACCTTTGGGGACTGGTTGACCAATGTAAGGTTGGGAACTGGAGGACAGAAATCTTCCTGAGATTTCTCGATCCCAGAGGATAAACTCCACACTATTTCCTGTTCTTTCTACAACACATGTCTTTCCAGGTGTTAAATTTCAGATGGCGTAACATATTGCGGCTCACTTTGGGGTTTATGAAAACACACTCCCATAGATCCTATTCTGGGGTAGAAGCCCAGGTGATAGGATTTGGAGTGGGTATTGACATTGGGCCTGAGATTGGACCTAAGTGAGGGTTAGAGACTGAGAGTCAGGCAGGGTTTTAGGCAAGGACAGAGGTTGGGGATGGTTAAGTACTTTGGCTACACAGGTATATGAGATTCTATTGAAGAATACAGATGTTGAGAGATAGACACCTGGGGCAAGGACAATAGAGTGCAGGGACTTGCTGTGCAGAGATAGAAGATGTTAGAAGAACTGGACATATTTTTGCTCTAAATCATCCTCCAAGGTCTTAAAATATCAGGGCTGCTGATGCACATGCAACTCCTCTGGTTTGCCTCTGTTGGTTCAAAAACGAAGGAAAACTGCTGAGTCATGCTGATCAGCAATTGATGTAAACCTTTTTCCTGAAGAATTTAGTTGGTAGTCTAAAGTTCAGTTTTTTAGTTCAGTTTCCTGAAGAATTTAGTTGGCCTAAGATCCTGTTTTCTTTTCCTTTTCCTTCCACATCGGAAAACCAGCCCTCCTTTTAACTTGTCTCTCTAGGAGTGCCAGAGCATCAGAGCTGGGCAGGGAGAGGAAACCAGATACTACAAGGTTGGCTATAGGGTCTCCTGCAACAGAGGCCTGAGAAGAGTGGGGAGCAAGAAGCTCTTATTTGAAATCATGTTGTGCCAAGTTGGAGGGGAACGAGTCCTTGGCATGAGGCTGCCACACGGAGAATTCTGAAATTGCAAGGCTTGGAGGGTCAGTGCCTCTGATTGTTGGGACATAAGTGGACAATTTACTAGCTCTATCTGGAAAGAACATCTCCAGAACAGGCTTCAATATGATGGAAATAGATTTAGATTGAGTCACAGCTAAAGTACCATCTGGTGGTAGTGAAGCAGACAGGGCTGGCAGTGCACTATGACAAGCTTGGGCATCAATGGGATCCATTGCCTGGAATAAAGTGGTAAGGGGTTGATATCTTGGGAAAGGCTGGGGTCAAATAAAAAGGTGGTGATTAGAGAGAAAGTGGCCTCTGGTCAGAGAACAGGATCTGCTCCTCGAGTGTGATATGGTGGGAGAGAGGGAAAGGGAAGTGGCTGGGGTGGAGTGTGGTCCACTGTGAATTTGAAATCCAAGGGAGTAACAGACTCTGGTGGCAGAGTCACCCAGAGAGAGTGGCGAGGGTGAAAGTAAGTGGGGTGAGGCAACCATCAGGTTATGTGAGAGAAGGAAGGGTGGAGATGGAGAAGGCTCAGGCAGAGGGGATGATGGTATTAGGTCTCCTGGAGGGCTTGCTGTGAGCACAGAGGACAGTGTATGTGATGAATCTGTCACAGAAATGGTAGAAGTGAAAGGGGACACAGAGGGAGAAGCATATTGCAGGGATTCCCAGAACTCCAGCTGCTTGGCTTTAGCAGTTGTTCTACTACACACTTCACAGAGGGGTCTGGACATAACAGGGGAAGAAAGTGGATGCTATCATGATGCTGGCCCCAGGGCTGCAGAAGATAGGAGGGACAAAGCTGGAGCCAGGACCAGAGCAAAGAAAGGGGAGCCTGTGAGCCCAGCTGCAGTGGGGCCACCTGAAGCCTGCTACCCCCTCACATTTCCCCCACCCATGACTTCACAATACACTCTCTAGCCTCTGCCCAAGGCCTTTGTTCACATACCCATTTCCATGGCTACCCCTCCCATGACTATGGCAGGGTGCACTGAATCCCTAAAATCCATAGAACATGCTTTAAAAAGGGATCAGGAAAGAAGGTAAAAGTTTTAATCACTTTTTCAGATCAGAAAGCAGCCTTCTTCCCTCCCCTGCTTTTCTCTGGCGAATTCTCCAACCTGGGAAACCAGGACAGTAGGTTATATGTACGGAAGGTACAAGCACAGAGATCGTACACAGGCCCCTTTATGGGAGACCCTTGAGATATTAAACTCTGATCAGCAGCCAAGGTCAGTCAGCAAAGGCCAAATGGTCAACAATAATATTAACAAGGTTCACATGTGTATGTGGTTGCATTCATAACGTACTTTCACATATATTATCCCACATGCTGCTCAAAACCACCACACGAAGCACAGACATCAGTTGTTACATCAAAAAGGAATCTGAGCCTCTAGAAAGTCAAAGTACTTACACAAAGTCAGGAGACAAAAGTTCTGATTCCAAACCAAGCTGTAATCCTTACTTGACATCTACCGTGGCCACCTATTGGGCAATACCAATTGCCCAGGTCCATCACTGCTTCACGCCCACAGATGGGCTGAGCGGAGACTCTGAGAAGTATCTGAGGACCAGTTGTCTTCTGTGAGCCTTCTTTGGAGGGCTCTGTTTTCTCAGAGAGACTGTATGTAGCACCTGACATTCTCAGAGATCACGAATCTGGGAGCTCATGGAAGGAACAGGAAAGCTCAACCTTGGAGAGCTGAGGTCAAATAGACAGAACCTTACCTTTCAAGGTTCCACCTTTCCTTCCTTCTCCTCTTGGCTCTGTCCGGACTCCAAGAACAAAAGAAAAAGAATAAGAGTCTGGGACTCACTTCTCTCACTCCTCTTCTCTAAGAAGCTCAGACATTCATTATCCAAGAAAAATCCCCCTCTCCCATTTAATTAATAGAAATGTGATCCTTTTATCAGTTTTTAAAAGTGACATACTACTTCCAGTATTTCCTTCACTGAAAAACTCAAAGGAGGATTTTGTCTGTGAAATCTCCCCCTGGTGTTCTCAGAAGTCCCGTGCTCCAGGAGGACACAGAATCACAAGCCAGCAGTCACATCTGCTCTCTCAGAGGACCTTGTGTCCTGGGTCAGAGCTTGGAGGCTCTGGACATTGCTCTTCTGATCAGCCCAACATGAAGGAAGACTTGGTCGAGTGACACCTGAAGTCAAGGGCTGCCTGAAGCCACTGAGTGCTGAGGTCGTCTGTGCTTGGCTATAGTCCCAGGCCCACATCACAGAGCATAAGAGAGTCACAAAGGGGTTCTGCTGGTGGGGGAGGGGAATACAGGAGGAGGGTGTGGCTACAGCCCCTACCCCACACCATCAGCCCAATAGATCCCTCTGCCCCTCTTGGGTCCTCTGGGTCCCTCTGCCCTCCCCTGCCATCCCATTTTCCAACTTCACCCTTTCTTCGTATATGTTTGCCTCAGTGAAATTTTCTGTTTGTTTCATCTGTAACCCAGATATTACCAGACTTCCCCTTTACTTTGTGGAGCCCTTAACTTGGACTGCAAAACTCTGAAATACTACCTGGAATTTCTGCTTATACCCACACATTTATACTCGCAGGATCACACATATCCTCAAATACGTGTTATCTACAGAATGTTTTTGCCTTACATTAACCCAGATATAAAACTTAATGTTCTTTTACACTTAGTTTCATGAAGGTTAAATAGCAAATCTTTTATTTTAAAGTCAGCCTTTATTGTTTTCAATCAGAGAGGCTGACTCAAATAATTAAAACTAATCATTATTCAACATCCATAAAATTAAAATAAGTGTAAAATAAATGTACATAATTAAACCTTCAAGAGATTTGGGGGATAAATTTATAGCATTTATTTTTCTGAAGTTAGTGAACTGTGCAAAGATTTGGGACATGCTCCCTACTTATGAAATTCCCTAAATGACTCTTTCATTTCTCTACGTTTCATTATATCCTTTCTTATGTTGTCTATCTCTTTAGTAACTTTTTTTATTGATTTCCTGAAATTTTGGGGGAGATTCTTTTTGTTGGCTTTCAACTTTCTTTTCAGTTTTATTCCTCTTATTTGCCATCCATATTCTGAATTTCATTTCTTCCATTTTGGCAATTTCCTTGTGGATAAAGTCCATTACCATACCTCCATTGTGATCCTTTGGGTGAGTCAAACTGTTCTGTTTTTTCATGTTGCTGGAATTCTTTTGCTGTTGTCTTCTCATCTGACTCCTCTGGGCTCAGGGCTAATAGAATTATAGGGCAGCTGTTTTCCTTTGGTGTGAACTCTCCTGCTTAGGAAAAAGGGAGGACTCTAGGTGGGGATTTTATGTCCTACCCTGGAATGTTGACCCATCAGTGGAAGAGCAGGCACACTGAGGACCGGTAGGTCAGCTGTTCTATTTTCACCATTTCCCTTGTGATCGCCTCAGTTCAAGCCGGTGCTGGATCATTTTCTGGCGTGGTGAGTTGTGCCTAACCCATTGTTGGAAGTTCTAGCTGGGAGCAGGGTAAGACCCTCTCCACAGAGGCTGGCACTGTGGGTTATTGCTCTTCCTGGGGTCAACCAGTGAAGGTGACAGTAGCATCTGGGTAAGGCTATCTGGGCAGTAATTATGGGTGACCAAGCTGTGGGCATTTTTCCAAAGGAGGGTCAAGTGTAATGGCTGCTGAAGGCTGGGGTGTCCCCAGTGGAGCCTTGGACGTGGGAAAGGTTCCACCAGCCCAGCATCATATGTGCAGACTGTGGGGTCCCGGGGCGTAGGCCTAACTCTAATCTTGAGGGTGGTGTCACAGGCCCAATGAGGGCTCTGGAGCCACAGCGGCAGAGCCTCAAGCCCCAGGCACAGCAAGAGTCTCAGAGCTGGATCTGATGATCACAGGGGCAGAGCCACACAGATGGGGACTATTCCACTGGCACAAAGATTGCTGATGCCCAGTCAGAAAGGGGTTTGTTCCGGGGCCCCAGGGACTGTGGAGGTGAGCTAGTGCTGCTGGCTGGCTAGGGCTTTCCTCCCTGCCTAGGTCCCTCTGTGGCAGTTGCCCAAGGCTTCCCAGGTGGTGCTGTGGCTCCTCCTCTGCCCGATCCCAACATAGTGGGGAGGAGTGGTCAGCTCAGTGCCACAGTGATGGCATGGGGAGTTTTCATTCTGCCTACTCCCTCCCTGGCTTGTTGGGGGTGATGGGAAGGCTACTGCTGGATAGCCGATTTCTCAGCAGACCTTGTGTTGTTCACCTGAGAGTTTAGGAACGTGTCAGCTGCAGAAACCCAGCATTGGCTGCTACCAGATCTCTGCTGCGCCTGCTCTCCCATGCAAGGTCTGTGCACAGACTTTGAGCAGCTCCCTGATCAATCCAGAGGTCTGCAGTGGTGATGGGGGGAGTCCCCTCAAAGCTTGAGCCACCTCCAACTTTTAAACTTCTCCTTGAGAGTCTCACACTCACTGCTTCTTGTCTGCTGTCTTCCCCTTCCCCCAGCACTGTGAATTTTATTGGGACACCCAGAATAATCTTTGAGATGGGAGGTGGAGCTTGTGGATAAGAATTAGCCATGTCCCATTTGATTGAGTCAGTAGGTGCCATAATAGTAATGGGGTGTGCAAGTTGTCCTACCTGTCATTAGCTGGAGCTTACAGGAAATAGCCAGCTGCAGTGTTGTTCTTTGGGGGCTATGACTACCTCAGGTCCCTCAGGAGAAGCTCTTGTATGACCCAGGCAGTGGACAGGCCCTGGAGTTCCAAGGGGATTCCTTGTTCTCCACCACAGCAGAGGTGGCTGGAAGAGCAAGGCTGGCAGGGCTGGGTCCTGCAATCTTTCCTTGAGGCTCTGCAGAGGCAGATGCTTGAACTGTCTTGACAGGGATCAAGGGTCAGCTCCCAGGCCACTGGGGAAAGCCACCAGGGAGGTGCTAAAGTGGCCTCCCCACACCAAAAAGTCTGCTCATGGGGGAGGGGTCATCTGGGATTCACAGAGTGGCTGTCATGAGTGTTTCATTCTTTTCCATCCTCCCCTGCCCCATGGGTGTCCTGCCAGTGTTTGCTTGCACACAGGAGCCTGAACTTGCTGAGCTTGATAGCAGTGGTGCTGCAGATTGGGAACTTCCCTGCCGGGGGTCCCAGCCTGGTCTGAAAGCATGGCTTTCCTGTGGGGGAGGACTGCTCCACTTGTGCACTCTCCTGTCAGTTCTGCCCACGTTGGCTCCCTTGCCTCCCAAGTTCACAAATCTCCCCTGTGTTCTCTCAAACAATACAATCTAGTCCTGGTGATAAGGGATCCAGCCTGCAGTCCGGTCCCCTGGATTCCCAGGTTCAATTCCCAACTGTGACAGGAAGAACCGTGTTGGTTCTCAGTTGCCCATGCAGTGCTCAAGCAGGCTTGATGCCTCCCTGCTTCAGGGTATGGCCTGCGCCAGGGAGTGCTGGCAGCTGGTTCTAAGATGTGCTGGCGGGCATCACTGGGGAGTGCCGGTGGGCAGGGAGCTCACAGGCTGAGCACCCCTGGGTCCACTGCAGGTCCTCAAGGGGAGAGGTGTGCACCCCACTCTCTGTGGGATCCTCAGTGCCGTGGATACACCAACAGAGGCAAGCAGTTGCTCCAGAGATCCCCCACTCAATCCCTCTGCAACAGTGGATGCGGGAGGGGAGAGGGAGGAAAAATTCTGGAGAGAGGAGAGCCAGAACTCTAGCCCTTCAGGGCCCTCTCCCTGGAAGGAAGCTTGGATGCATGGAGTGTCCAAGCTCTAGGATAACACAAATTCTCCAGGGGCCCGCCGTAGTCTGGGTAGGAGTTGGAAACTGTGTGGGAACAAGTGATGTGAAAACTGAAGGGCTGGAGCTCCCTGGGAGGACAAAGGCATGCTATGGGTGGACAAGCCAGATGGTGCCCACCCTCCTGGCACTGGTCTGTGGTGACAGGCAGTGACTCCGAGTGGGCTGGCAGCCCTTGATTTGTTTTCAGGAAGTCCCCAGTTCAGTGGTGGCAACAGCTTTTGGGTTTGTGAGTGTAGAATAGCTTTCCAGCAGTTCAGGAGCATGCTGACTAGCACGGGTATGAGTGGAAGAGAAACAAAAACCCCACTACCCTTTCCACCAGGCTCCAAGCTTTACCAAGGTTGATCTCTGCCAATATATTGTTTCCACTTGTTCTACCCTGCAACTTCTTCCATGGAATCTCCAGTAAGTTCTGGCACCTTTCCCTCTGAACTATACCTGAGCTATGTTTTTTTGTTTTGTTTTGTTTTGTCTTTTCTCCTGTATCTGAATCCTTTCCATCCCTCTGGAATGATCTGGACCAATGTCTCTAATCAGCCATCTTCCCTCCTCCAAGCTAAATGTTTCATTAATGCTTGTATCGGGTAAAATCTCTGATTTATGAGTCTTATTTGACGTTCACTCCTTTATGTGAGCTAAGTGGTTAAAAATTCAGAGTGAGTTTTTCTCCATAGGCAAAACCCAAATGCTTTACTTTAGAGAATAGCTATTATCCCAGTCAGTTTATAAAACTATACTTAAACAAGTTGTGGAGAAAACCTAAAAAACTGTAATAATCCATGCTTTTTGGGGGGAAGAGGTAACAGTGACATATAATGACTTAAAAACATAAATAGTCCATTTGATTTAGGAGAAAATATTAATATGTATTCATATGCTGATAAAAATAGAGAAAGGCAGAAGAATCGCCTAAAAAGGATGTGCCTGAGAGAAGTGTTTCATATTTAACAAGGTAGACATTTAGACTTCTGACAAAAAGAATAACCAAGAACATTCTCTAATGTAAAATAGCTATGTCAGACATATTTTACAAGTACAAATATGATTTTATATGCTAATTAATCATTAGAGGGGCACATAGAAGAATAAGTTCTAGTATTCAATAGTACAATAGGAAAATCATAGTTAAGGATAATTTATTGTATATTTCAAAATAGCTAGAAAAGGTTTGTAATGATCCCAACACAAAGAAAAGATAAATGCCTGAGGTGATGAAAATCCCAACTACCCTGGTCATTATGCATTGTATACAGGTATCAAAATATCACATGTAACCCCAAAATATGTACAAGTATTATATTAATATATCAATGAAAATAAATTGATTAACTAATTTTTGAAAAGGACGATATCCCTTCTGTTACCAAACTGCTTCCCAGGATAACTGTGGAGACAGACCCCTCAGAAGCCCTGATCTCGCCAATCCTATCCTCTTCCTGTTTGGTCAGGTTTGCCATGGGTATTCCTGCTGGGAATGGGGTGAGCGTGGATTTTGAAGTCTGTATGGTTGCGGGAAGGCTTCAGACTGTGAGCAGAAGGTGGGAAGTCATGTGGGAGATTGAGTTAGGCAACACTGAGGCAGCAGAAGGTAGAGGAAGGCTCCAAAGCCCTTAAGGGCATGGGTATTTGGGGGCGGGGTGGCAGTGTACACATGAGAAGCAGGAACATTTTGAGTGAGTTCTAGACCAAATAAAATCAGCTCAGGTGAGTAAGAAATGTCAGGAGGAGACTTGGGCAACTGAGGCTCTTTGGATAAAAGGGGATACAGAAGGAAGATAAAGATACTGGAGGGTCGAGTTTCCAAAGTGTCTTCTAGACCTTCCTTTGGAGGCTGAGAGATACGAGTAAAGCAGCAGCTACCTGTAGATACCAGTAAATTATGCATCAAATTTTCTTATGTAAAAGGCTGCTTATACTTTCAAATGAGTGGTCTTCCAAAGATCATTTTTTTGAAGTGATTCACTTAATTCAAAATTATGACCCTTATTCAAAACATTTAAGTTAAGAATGCAATAAATGGAAAATGCCATTTTATGCTTCACAAAACAAGTTATTACATAACTTTATAACCACATCTTATTCTTGTATATCTTATAGAAATATTGCCACAAGAAATTCTAGTCAGAAGATATTTCAGAATTACTCTAAAAATTGAGGCTTATGTTCCCAGAGTGGTTAAGGTTTTTGCTCCTGTTTATAAAAGTGCTTTTTCTTTGACCTAATTCTTGGTAATATAACTCTTCAAACTGCACGAAATGTCATCAGAAAGGGTAACATATTTCCAGTTGGCTTAACTAGTTTTTTGATCTGGCTCTATTTATTTCTCCTTTGTTTATATGGTTTTCTCTTTTTGTCTATTTTACAAAACGCTTATCTTTTTCAATTGATAGTATAGACAATTTATTTGTATCTCACAAGATTTTAAAGCCAGGTTTTAGAAAATATATTTTGGGGCTAGAAAATATTTGGGGCTAGAAAATCCAAATATGGATTTAGGTACCTTTAAAAAAATTACAAAATGATTGAAAAAAATCTGAATTTTTGGTTCACTGCCATCTTGGAATTGTTCAATACTTGTAGATTAATAGCTGTTTGTCCTATTACTTTGTTTGGGTCTTAGAAATATAGAGGATTAGGAACCCAGATGTTGAAAGGGAGCCTGCAAATTATAACTTTTAATTTTTTCATATCTCTGCTTAAGGTCAATTCTTTCCAGCTATAATGAAATCAAGAGGAAGAAGAGAAGGTGCTGAAAAGGTGAGTATGGAACAGTTTGAAGAATCTTTCTTCTAGAGCCAATATGTTTTCAAGTAAGACAGTTACTTGATTATCTCTAAATTAAAGGAAGAAGTCTCAATTAGCAGTGAAAAGTATGGTTTTGACCTGACTAATCCACAGGCAAGGACATCAGAGTAGAGGCATTTTGTTATAGATTAGCAAGTGATGACAAATATTTAATACCTGAACTAGAAAAGTAATGCTAAAATTCAACAGAAGGTAATAGTTTTGAGACAAATTTAAGAAATGAAACCAAATAGGCTTTAGATGGTGGCATAGCAGAAAGGGAGAATGGAAAGATTATTCTGAGGGTTTTAAACCTTGTGTGTTTATTTTTAAATACATATATTTTTTATAATTGTCCTTAAGACAGCCCTTAACACCACCACCACCGCTAACCTCCTTTGCTGTTTAAGAAGTATAAAGTTTCAGTTATGCAAAACAAATTATAGTTAACAGTACTCTATTGTGCAGTTGAAATTCTGATACATGTCACATTAAATGTTCTTACCATAATTAAAAAAATATTCCAAATGTGTCTTCTCTTTCAAAGTGATCACTCTGGGAGGCTATGGTTATGACACTACTTTTGGGAATTCCTCTTTGCATATTGCCATCAAGGTCACCCACAGTAGGTGATCAATTTATTGACTTCCTGATTTGTCAATTTATTGATTGATATGTGGACTATTTATTGATAGATTGATTAGATTATATGGAATTAATAGAGAATTTGATTTCTCTTAACATCCTGTAGGTTAGTAAAAATTGCTTATGATAAACTGTGGGAAGGAAAGCAAGAAGGGAGCTGGTGACTCTGCACTAATTTGACAAACCATAATGTACCTACTCTACTTTTCATGTATTCATCCTTTGTCTTTCCTGCCCTCCTCCATCCCAGCCTCAGTTCCCACTCTCCCATGACATCCTTATGCCTTTGATAATAGTAAAACCCTTGTTCTTACTCCGTCTCTTACAGAGGAGCACATTCTTTTTGCTTTTAAATGATGTAGGAGCTCTTTGTTTTATTAGTAACTCATTGTAGCTTATGAAAGGCTACATTACATGCCAGTTCTGAAAAATAAAACTTGTAAGCTCTAAAAATACAATCCTTTCAGTTCAGGTATTTTATTCTTTCAATAATAATGGAAAGGTTTATTTTTATAATAAAGAGTACATCCTTTAAAATGCAACATGTTAATGATCCTAATGGAAATTCCAGCATAAATAAACATCATGACCTTGAAGCTTTGTCCTGAAGTAGACATTTTATTGACTTTTATTTTGGTAATATTTCAACTTTGAGCCATCCATTGAGTCTGTAGCAAAATACATTAAAATCACGTATTTCAGATTATGTGTTTTCTATATTGCATTTTAAACTAGCAAATAATGATTCAAACAGTACAGAGTGGATTTAAGTTTAATAAAAATAAAGCTCAAATGCTAGCAGAGATAGGGAGCAATAAGCTAGCCAGAAATTCCATTTGCAAATGCTTGGACTCCTACTAGGCATTTCCTGCACATTCAGAGCTCATCACAGAAATCTTCAATTAGCACCAGAGGACATTGAAAAAGGAAAAAAAGAGTGTTAGTGTGCACTTGGATGCAGATGCTGCTACCAAAGAAAGGCGCAATTGCATGCCAGCCTACACAGACAGCAACCTCGTTTTATGTGAGGGTTTTACATACTAAGAAAGGACTTCGGATATTTGTGACACGCTTTTCAGTATTCATCAAATGGGAGGAGAATTCCACTTATTTTTATAGCCATCATTTTCTGTGAGTCTTGCATTTCTACATGATGGTATAATATTAAGTTCTAAAGGTCAGAAGTTCACTTATTTCCTTTATATGCAGTAAAATGTTCAATCTTAATAAGTGAGTCATGCTAAAAATAATTTATGATGATAACATTTCAAGAGTTTTTGTTGATGAGAGTGAAGTATTTCACTGTGTACATAAATGAGACATTGATTAATTATTTCTAGACCCATTCATTATCATCTAAAATCACTTCCTCTTAATTTCTACATAAGGTTATTACCTTTAAAGCCAACAAGAAAGGTAAAACTATGATGTTTACATATTTATAGTGTTGGCTACTATTACTGTATTTTTAATTTTGTACTATTTGAAATACATTTTATATTTTCTACCTGTTTGTGTTTGAATTCTACTAAAACATGTTTATCTTTTTATAGATCAACATCTGAGTCACTTTGCCATTCAATTTACTCCAAGAAAATAATTCACTACAAATATAGGTTTGTCATATTGTATGTTATTTATTAGTATTCTTAGTAAATTAATAAAATATTGCTATTGACAGACAAACTAAATCTAAATTAATCAAACAGTAGAGTAATACTTCAGACATGTCTTCAACACATGCTGAAACTTATATATTCTGCTGTAGAACCTAATCTGCTTAAATTACAAAAATGTAGTTTTATTTGTTTACATAGCATATTGAATTTGTGAAATTAATTTGTGTTTTTCCAGCTTATGTGAGATCATTAGGTTAACAGAAAATTTTAATTCCTAAATGTTTTGTTTCCCTATAAGAGATGTATATTAAAGGTCCAGAAATGTTCTTGCACAGTGCTCTAACTACTCAAAAGAATCTGTAAAGGAACCTACAAGAGAATAAGTCAGTATATGGAGGTTGATTAAGATTCGAGTAAAAAGAGTTTATTACTTTGTAGGAAGAACAAGCGGAAGTAGTATAAGCAACTCTTCTTTTGTGGAGGGACATTATTCCATCAGAGTCAGTAGCTAATTATGATAGTGCACGTACAGCATTGCCATTTCTTCTCTTCAAAAGTTCATAATGACCAGTTGCCCAGGGTGGGAGTTAACTTAGGTAACACATTCTAGAAGTGGGCTGAAAAACATTACAATCTCATTTAGGGAGTAAGTTTGAAGGACAGTCAGGAATGTCATTTCTCCCAGTGGGTAGAAATTTGATTTGCATATGAGAGTATTCATTTTTCCTGTGAGAATAAATGACCAGAGGTATGATAGTCAATGGTTCCTACCAAGTGTCCACCTGTTTTATTGATTTTCAGAAACTTGCAAAGAACACAGTGATCACAGGAATAGAATTTTTAGTAAAGTTCTTGACTGAACAGGAACACAGAACAGGGTAGTGGAGAAAGAAAGATATTAAATATATACAACTTGGTTTCATCAACAATTTTAGAAGTGACATTGGAAGTGAGCTACAAATCACTTTTTCCTTGTTTCAATATCTATCTAATCTATCATTTCCAGTATCTTTTTTCCAAGATACCTTTCTCAGAATATTCTATGTAATTACATAATATTATATAATTATAAAAACCTTCATATTTTTGAACCGTATGTATAATTTGTCCCATTGGTACAGAAAAAGTGTAATTGGGTATGATCTAGTAGAGAGATAACCATACCTAGACATGAATATAATGATCACTGAGACTTTGGTTTTCCTATTTTGGGGAAAGAATACAAATGTTTTCCATGATAATAGAGTAGTTGCATCATGTTAGATAAGAGTATGCTACTCTTGTAGATGAGAACTTTCAGTTTGCCTAGAAGAAGTGGTTCTGGCAGATATGATGGATTGGCACAGAGCATGAGTTCTACTCTTCTTTAAGTAGTCTGATATGTACTGCAGAAAATGGCAAGCTAAAACTCTATTTTTAAAGACCCCCTTGCATATAGGGTCCTGACAGCATGTAGTTTCAAGCAATCAGAAGTACCTGGGTATTGAAAAGACAGAAGTGAGGTATACACTGTGTATTTGGTATTTCTATCTTTTGTCCAGGCAATGTCTGTTTTTCTGGAGTAAGCTATAATCTTGTTGGTATCTTGTTTACGGCAGTTTTCATGATTGCAGTGACCTCCCGGGATGTGTTTTTTTGATTATGGGTATTTTGAAAATTTTGGCTGCCTTCCTATCAATATAGGGTAGTGAGGTTTTAAAAGTGACAGCTGTAGGAACAACTTCTCAATGCAATAGTCACTTTCTAATCATAATAGTGCTATTTGTTCCCTTTCAAACTAGGAAATATTCAGCTGAAGAAAAGATGAATAGGTATATAGAGGTCCCTGAAAAACCATAATTCATAATTTGCAGCTTTTCAAAATATTGTGCCTTCTTTTCCAGTGCTCATCAACACTGGCAAAATAAAATTATACATATACTAACATATGGACATCATAAAATGTAGACATTAATATGACATCCTCTAATGACAATTTAATAAAATTTCACTAACAAAATGAGAAAATAGAAAATAAACCCTGTCTTAGTCAGTTTGGGCTGCCATAACAGAAATACCATAGATTGGGTAGCCTACACAAAATAAATTTATTCTTCACTGTTCTGGAGGCTGGGAAGTCCAAAATCAAGGTGTCAGCATACCAGTGTCTGGTGAGGGCCAACTTCTTGGTCTGAAAGTGGCTGTTTTCTCATTGTTTCCTCACATGGTAAAGAACAGAGAGAGTGAGAGCAAGCTCTCATGTCTCTTTTTATATGAGCACCAATTTGCTATACCCTCATGACCTAAGTACTGCCCCCAAACCCTAATAGCATCACATTGGGGGGAGGATTTCAACACATGAATTTGAGGAGGACACAAACATGCAGTCCATAAATACTCTTATACCTGGAAACAAAAATATTAAAAATTATATTAAACACAAGTCAAATAATCTTTAGAATATGGAATATCCTAAGTATACAATATTATATATATTGCATATATTAAATTCTACATGATGAATATAAAGCTGTATTCAGAGGAAATCTCATAGCCCTAAAAGTTGCAAGGAAATAGGATTATAATAAGCAAATTCTGCATTCTACTCATGAAGATAGAAAATAGACTCAAAATACCTGTACAAGACATAATAAGGATTTTTGGTGAAATTCATGAGTTTATACAAGAGATTTTTGCTTAAAATGAGACTAGGCAATGGATAGGCCATTATCTAATTAATTAAAGAAAAGATGGATAAATATACCAAAAAAATCATAAGCATGAAATAATCTAAGAAATGGAGGTAATTCGACTCTCTCTCTCTCTCTCATTTTTACTTAAGTTTATTTCATTTAAATTTACTCAATTACAAATGTTTTTGTTTTAGTCCTGACCAAAAAAAATTACTTTGTCTTTGATTCTTTATGGTTTTTTTGTTGATACCTATTACATTACAGTCTGATTTTACTTTTTCTGTGTGTGTGCTCTGTGTAGGGGGGAGACGGAATGGGGGTGTCCTGCAATAGAATAAAACACAGCTACAATAAATTTAGTTGTACTAATTATAATGTCATTGACACTATATTATTTAGACTACTTATTGAGATCTCGCTAGGCACAAGAACAAATTTAATCCATTTCTGCTTGCTCTGCACTTATTTCTCTCGCTTCCCTCTACCACATATTTAAAATGCAATTGTTATTATTTGTTACTAGTTACAGGGCTAATTCAGAGTCTGAGAAGTAGATGCTAAAATGGGATAAGTGTGTGAGATTCACAGAAAAACACTTTTGAAGAGTAAAAGGAGAAGGAGAAGGAGGAAGGGGGAGGATAGAGGGTCCAGATCACGAAGGCAGTCTGACTCCTGTGAAGGAGAGCGGTGAGAGATTGGGCAAAAAATGTCTTAGGCAGCAGAGCAGCTCTAACAAAGTTTCAGTTGGACTAATGGGAAAAGTTTGAGACAGTCACTCCTTATAGGAGCCCCGTAGGAAAGGACTTGCATTATGACCTTACCATGCTCAGTTATGTGCTGGAACATCCTGCAGGAAGCATGAACTTGGAGTGGATCAAGGATACAAAACAGCAGCAGCTAAAGCCATCAGCTGGTCCCCACAGCAGAAGATCTGACTGGCATTTATTTGGCCACTGCATGCTCAAATACACTTAAACCTCTGTCATGATAATATCATAACTTTAAATTATATTTCTTGACTACTTGTTTATAAATGATATGCTACCTTCTACTTTTCAAAATTTGGTTATTTTGTATTATGACCTTTATGATTTCTTTTAAATTTGGTCTTGTGTTCTCTATTTCAAGAGGAGTCAGAAGCCTAGGTAGCTATTCTCTAAAAACAAAAACCTGACCAGGGAAAAATTAGGTTCAAGAGTGTGTGTCAGGTGAGACATAATGAGGAGGTGAAAACAAATGCATGAAACAAAAGAAATGTATTACTCACAGGTACCAGAGAGCTTAGGGGGAATCCAGAGGTGGCAGGGAAATTAACCAGTGGGTGGAGAATGAGAAAGAGAGGCCTTTATTAAGAGCCATGGGTGTTATCCCTTATGCCTGAAGTCCCCAACCCCAGGCTGTGGACCAGTACCGCTCCGTGGCCTGTTAGGAACCAGGCCCAACAGCAGAAGGTGAGTGGCAGGTGAGGGGGCAAAGCTCCATCTGTATTTACAGCTGCTCCACATCACTCGCATTGCTGTCTGGGCTCCGCCTCCTGTCCTATCAGAGTTGGCATTAGTTTCAGGAAAACAAGCTCAGGACTCCCACCCTGATGATTCTGCATTATGGCAAGTTGTATAATTATTTCATTGTATATTACAATGTAATAATAATAGAAATAAGGTGCACAATAAATGTAATGCCCTTGAATCATCCCCAAACCATCCCCACTCCAACCTTGGTCTGTGAAAACAATGGTCTTCTGTGAAACTGGTCCCTGGTGTCAAAAATGTTGGGGACTGCGCTGCCTTAGGCTTTTACTCAGAGGTTGTGGATTGACGAGTTTAAAGAAAACACACATAAAGAGGGACCTATTTACACGAGTCTGGTGTGGTTTTATTGTGGTTAGCAGCTGTGGGGTGTGTTGCGTTTCAGGTCAGTGGCGTGAAGAGCAAGTGAGTTAGATCATAAACAATCACACAGGAAAGGGAAGTTTTAACCAGGCCAAAGGTGTTGGGGTAGAACTGAGTTTTAAATAATATGTAAAGTCTAAAAATAGATGCTGAGGCAGCAGCAATATTAAACAAATTTATGACATATTAATTTTTGCTTTTCATCGGAAATTTACAGATTGCAACCACTTGGCCCTATGGTCAAACAAATTGAATTTTGCTCATGCACATTTATGTCTGGTAGCTTCATGTCTCATGGCTTGATGCCTGCAGTTCATCCTCTCTCTTCCAGAAGGTCTTATGGGATCCTCCCTCACTGTGAATAAAAATGTCATCTTTATATATAATACAAGTAAAATTTGGCTGGACATAAATTATTTTGTCATAAATTATT